ACCGCTCCGACGCTAAGAATCGTGCCAGTTACAGTTTCGCCGGCCTTCTCAGGAATTCCTCTGATTTCAATTGTGTTTTTCAGTTGAAACTGTTCTGTGGAATTCAGGCGGCTTTCCAGCTCGGATATTTTTGATTTTAATGTGTTATTTTCCTTGGTTAATTTTTCAGTATGGGTTTTTTGCTCTTCCAGGAGTGTTTCAATTTTTAACAATCGCTCCATATTCTCGAAAGATAGTTCCGAATGCTTCTGGAGGGTTTCTTTTATTTCCTTTAGTTCGTCTAAACCCTGAAGCTTGGACTTCAATTCCCTTACTTCCTCGGCCAGAGTCCTCAGTAGGTCTATCATAGTATTAGGCTCAGTGGCTGGCAATGTACGCGACCCTGTTTCGCAATCGGTGCACTTCCATTTTTTACTGGCTTCTTTTAGGCCTTCTGAGTCTGTTAAATCAATTTTCGTGCATTTAGCATGAAAGATGTTTTGACATGTGACACAAGCCAATTTAGTCTTGTCTTCTCTACTTGCCGTTTTTCCGCATAGTTTGCAATTAACCATTTTGAAAAAATTAAATAGATAAATATATATCACAATTGCTTTAAAATGAGAGAAAACGAAAGTAATAACAACAACAATAAAGGCACCTGTTTGTTTGGGTGAAGGCTGGTAGGATTAGGCTGATGCTAGCTATCCCCACTACTCCAACTCAGCTGCTTCTATCACGTCCTTTTTTTTCTTTTCTTTTTTCACTATATAACTACTATCACCATAAATAACTGTATTGTAATATTAATGTGATATTACAAGACGAAGTAATTGTGAAAAAAATAGCGGAAAAGTCTTCAAGTCACTGTTTAAATCATATAAGATAGGGAAAAGCGCTAGTTAAGCTCTTGACTGTTACAGAGATACTCTAAGACTGGATGAGTTTTAAAGAATATAGTAATGATAATGGGATCCATCTGATAAACTTTGCCATCTCGAAAAACCTGATAATTAAAAGTACGACGTTTAAACATAAGGATATTCATAAATATCGACCATGTCTTGATACAACATAGCTGGCAAAGCAGTATAATTAATGTACGGTCTTATCGCGGAGCAGAATGTGGGTCGGATCATGAATTAGTAATCGCGAAACGTCGACAAAAACTTAATATAAAAAAGAGAAAAGAAAACCGTTTTGATTTTGAGAATTTTAATTTGGACAAATTAAAAAATCCATCAATTAGAACCCAATTCGAGCTAGATGTTAAGAATAGGTTTGAAGCTTTAGAGCTTCCTGACGAGGACCACGAGGATATTGACAAATTATGGGTAGAGATCAGGGATAATATTAAAGCGGTCGGTAACTCGTGTCTAAGAAAAAAGGAAAATAAGAATAACAAACCGTGGTTTGATTAAGATTGCTTAAACATGTGCGAAAAACGAAAAGCCGCTAAATTAAAAGCTCTAAATAATCCTAGCGAAGACAATCTGGAATACTTCCGAACCTCAAAGAACGAAACGACAAAATTGCTCAAAAATAAAAAAAGGGAGTATCTTAAAAATAAAATAATTGAAATAGAAACTAATAGAATCGAAAATAACGTAAGAGACATGTACAAAGGTATAAACAGATCACGTAAATGTGTAGGGTCCGTAACATCTGGAATTAGGGATGATAATAACAATATTCTGACCGATCCGGTTGACATATTGAATAAATTTAAGGACCACTTTGACAATATTTTAAATACGAGAAATTATGATCTGTGTCCTCCTTCTGAGTACCAGAGTGCTGAACCGTTGATAGAAGGACCGAGTAAAGAGGAAGTTGAATTAGCTATCGGAAAATTAAAATCTTATAAAGCAGCGGGAACCGACAATATTCCTACTGAACTAATTAAGGCATGCGGGGAAGCTGGAGTTTCTAAAATACATCGGTTGGTTAAAAAGATCTGGGTGAATGAGAAATTACCTGAAGAATGGAAAGAATCTATTCTTATTCTGATTCACAAAAAGGGTCCGAGGACGGATTGTAATAACTAACGAGGAATTTCACTCCTTCCGGTATGTTATAAAATATTTACTTTAATCTTAACCAGTCGAATCACGGAATACGCCGAGGAAATTATTGGAAACTACCAATGCGGATTTAGACGGAATCGTTCGACTATTGATCAAATATTTTCTTTTCGGCAAATATTAGAGAAAAAATTGGAGTACAACGGTATTGTTCACCAGCTGTATATAGATTTTAAAAAGGCTTATGATTCTATTGACCGCCAGAAACTGTATAATATTCTAATCGAGCAGGGGATTCCTAAAAAATTAGTAAATCTAGTCAGGATGTGCTTGACGGAGACACTTAACTAAGTTAGAATCGGTAATAATTTGTCCGAAAAATTTGAGGTTCATTCGAGTTTAAAACAGGGGGATTCCCTTTCGCCTGCACTGTTAAATTTGGCATTAGAACATGCCATTAGGGAGGTAATGCGTACCGAGAAAGGGTTGGATCTTGGTGGGACAACATCCGTGCTGGGCTATGCTGATGATCTGGTACTGTTAAGCGAAGACCTTGAAACTATAAAACTAAATACGACAACATTAATGAAAGCCGGTAAAGAACTAGAACTCGAAATAAACGTGGATAAAACAAAATATATGGTTAGCTGCAAAAATGGCGATACTACTGGTGATATCGATATAGATGGTAATAGTTTAGGTATCTAAGTTCTACGATAACTAGAAAAAACGAAATTGAAGAAGAAATTAAGGTTAGACTGAAGGCGGGAAATGCTTGTTATTTTTCTGTGACAAAACTACTTAGTTCGCGCCTTTTGTCCCGAAACTTAAAAATTAGAATTTATAAAACAATTATCTTGCCTACAGTTCTTTATGGGTTCGAAACTTGACGGATGAGTTAACCGGAGAGTTCAGACGGTTACACAACGCCGAATTGCGTGAACTGTATCCGAGTAATATAATTGAGATAATTGAGATAGTAATATATTTGAGATAATTAATAGTTACCACGAGGTTTTGAAGGCTGTTTAATATTATATTTCCACTTGTTCTTCTCTTCTTCTTCTTGTTCTTCTTATATTTCTCTTCTTTGCTTCATCTCATTCCATGGTAAGCTGTGCTGTAAATAACCTAATAACAGTTCAATTTTAAATATGCTCTTTTGGAGGGAAGTCCTTCCGCTTTATCGGGGAACTGGGTTATTTACACTCGTGAATATTAAAAGAAAACCCCGCCACTGGATATAGACTTTTTGAGGGTGTTTAACTGTTGTTGGGAATTCGGGAATCTAATACTTTTATGACACCGAGTGAGAAGAAACAATAAGAATATATATATCTGAAATGTGGGACTTAGTAAACACACTTTGAATAAATTGACTCACCTGGTTTACTATTCTTCAATTGTGAGGCCTATAGCACAACTAAATAAATAAATGACTTTTCATTCCTGTCGAACAAAACAATTTATTTTACAACTGTAATAAGTAAATCCATTAAAGTCTTATAACTGTAGGCTTGATATTCTTGGTCTTCAATGTCCTGCCTCTCTCATGTCAGGTAACGTCCTCTCGCCTCCGTGCCCAAGTCTCAAGTGCCTTCTCTCTTCTCTGGCGTCTTTCTCCAGCTGTTGCTACCTGCTCCATCCTTCTTCATCAATTGTTTATCGATATGAGACTTATCAATGAATAATTTGTCCACTGCATAACTCAGTACAATTCGTAATGCAACCTCACATTCCTATATATTCCTTCTCATTCCCTCACACAATGTCACACAAAGGAGTAAATACAGGGGGCTATCTTCTACAGTGCTGAACTCAGGACAGAGAAAGCCGCCAGGATATGGCACGATGGTTTGTTACATAAATTAAAAACGATCATTCCTCCGATGTATTGCTTGATTTTACTATCATATTTAAAAGATAGATTTTTCAATGTGAAAATGGGGACTGAGTTTTCTGCCAAACAAATAAAAGCTCTGGAGTACCTCAAGGCAGTGTCTTGGGTCCAACACTTTTCAACATTTACTGTTCAGACATCCCACAACATTCCGAAACACTGTTCGCTACATTTGCTGATGACTAGTCAATATTAACATCTAATAAGGATGCAGCTAAGGCTTCTCAGGTTCTTCAAGACACCTAGACGACATAGCTTGTTGGGCTAAAAGGTGGAGGATAAAAATGAACGAGTCTAAGAGCCAATTTGTTTCATTTACACTTAGACATGACTCTTGTCCTCCAGTTTTCTTTAATAATATCGTTTAATAATTCTTTAATAATAACTTCAAAAACTGTACAATATTTGGGTCTCCAATTGGACAAACGGCCGACATGGACACATACCATATAAAACAAAAAAGGAAAGAACTTAATCAGCGATACAGACTTCTTTCTAGGCTACTTGACAGACGTTCTAAATTATCTGTGACTAATAAATTAACTATTTACTAAGTCCTCATTAAACCACTTTGAACATATAGAATCAAACTATAGGGAACAGCAAAGAAATCAAATATAAAAATCATCCAGTCATTCCAGTCAAAAGTCCTTCGGAAAATTGTAGACGCACTCTTTTATGTTTCAAACCTTACGTTACACACTGACCTTAACACTCCTTTCATCACGGCAACTGCCACTGATCGCTTTAATAATTTTCATGACAGACTGACTCTAAATTCAAATCTACTTACTCAAGTTCTATCGACTGCTACAAATCCATATAATCCGTCTAGAAGACTGCTGAGGCGCTGGCCAAGTGACTTATTGCATTGAGCTATTTGCTATACTATCTTTTTTTTTGTGTGTTATTATGTGTTATTTTACTACTCTTTTTTTGTTTGTTTTTTGTTATTACTATTTTTTTTTTTTTTTTTTTTTATGCTATCATTTATTCTCCTTAATATCATATTTGCTGAATACCGAGGTAGATGGCAAATTTATTTTGTAAGCCAGGAATATGTATAACTAATAAATAAATAATCTTTTATTTTAAAGGTACATAAATGACCGAGACTTTGATCCCAATATTGTTCAGAAAGTATCCACTGCTTGTGAAGGTCTTTGCAAATGGGTCAGAGCTATGGAAGTTTATGACAGAGTAATAAAAATTGTAGCTCCCAAGAAAGCTAGATTAGGTGAAGCTGAAGCTGAGTTAGCAGTACAGATGGATAAATTAAATGAAAAGAGAGCTCAACTTCAAGAGGTTAGTCATATTTCATTTTTAGCAATTTATTATTAAATTTAAGGTATTATTTAATGTAAGGCATTACTTTTGCTTCCTCACTATCAAAGGTAGGGAAGCATAGCATTCTTGGGAGGTTAAAAAAATGTTTGTGCTCAGGATCGAAAATTTCCAGTCGCGTTTTATGTTTCAGAAATTCAGGATCAAATTAGGTTCGGTGTTTGTCTGTATCTGTAATTAAATCGATGTGACGGGCATATCACCTTCTAGTGTTTATCCGATTTCATGAAGTTTTAGAGAAATTTGAAGGTTGATGCTTTGATGATCCCACATAAATGTTATCAAATTCCAACCAGCTCTTCCACTTACACACACGTAAATGTATTTTTTTTAGATGTGCCAATAGTATATAGAGAGGTAGAGCAATATAATAACGAATATTATAAAAATAATTTTATCTGAAAATTATTGGAATAGACATATAAATTTATAATTGATCTAACTTATGAACCGTTGGAGATAAACTAGTAAAATAACATATATTTTACTGAAAGCTGGCTCAAGCCTTTAAATAAAAATTCTAACCCTCCTTCCTCCAAAGATTTCTATCCAATTTCAATCCTTTCCAACCTTTCAAAACCCCTTGAAAGAATAGTACAATCCCAAGTTTCCAATTTTCTCGAACATTCCAATCAACTCGACCCTTTCCAATCTGCTTTTCGACCAGGCTACTCCACACAATCCGTCATAATTAAAATCATTAGTGATATTCAGTCGCCATAGATGATAAAAAACTAATCCTTGCACTCCTTGACTTTTCCAAAGTCTTCGATACCATTAACCATTCCATCCTTTTCCAACAGCGCTATTCTTTGGTTTCAGTCTTTCCTCTCTCAACGTTCACAAGCTGTCGCTATCTCTAATCAACCCGTGTCTTCCTATCTTACTCTATCCTAAGGAGTGGCCCAGGACTCTAGCATATCTCATCTTTTTTTTAGTTCCTATATCAACAACCTCCATAATTTAATCCTCCACTGTTCCCATCACCTTTATGGCGATGATTCCCAAATTTAACTTTCCTTCCCTTCCTCAGACTTTTATGATGGGCATACATAAATGGATTAAGATAAAACACAGGCCATTGTCATTGGTCCCTCCTCAAATCCAACACCAACATTCCTATTCTGCATCTAAATAACCATCCCATCAACTTCAGCTCCTCAGTTAAAAACCTAGGCATTTTCATTGACCAAAACCTCTCCTGGAATCACCATATTGCCCATATCTCTCGACGGTCAATTTGTCTCATTAAACTATTCCGCCATCTCCTTCCTACACCCACACGTAGACTCCTAGTATCCTCCCTCATCTTCTCCCACCTTGACTCCGTCTGCGTGGTGTACGGTGGTCTCTCTGTGAAACTCTGGTACAGATTAAAAAGAATTATAAATAGCTTAGTAAGATTTGTCAAAGGGACCCCGAGATGTTCCTGTGTTTTCCACTACTATGCCCAGTTAGGGTGGCTCTTTTCCTCCTTCAGAAGACAATACTTCCTGGGCACATTCCTTTACCAAATAATCAACAATCATCGCCCTTCCTATGTATTCAATCTCCTCCATTTTATTTTTTTTTAAACTTCATTTATTATTCACCCACACCTATCATAAGCAATGACGATTAGCGGGTCTGCTGTCGATAAGTGTACAGGTAGTGGCTTGATTGGTGTGATGGAGAGGAGTACCCAGCGGCATCCCTTCTTGTCATGATTTTAGCATATTTTTAAGTGAGGAAATCCCTCATTCAGCTCCTTTTGAGCCTCCTAAGTGTGTTTTCAGGCATGTTAAATGTAGCCATACTTTGTATAAGTGTGTTAGTATGTCCATGTAAGTTATTGTGAAATCGCTTGTAGTGTGTCGGTATGTGATCGTTAACTGTTGGCATTTGAAGGTCTTTATGTAATGTAATGTTTGTGACGTACCATGGGGCTTTGGCTATGGTTCTGAAAGTTTTAGACTGAAAAGTTTGTAGTTTTCGTATGTGGGTTGTTTTGGCTGTTCCGTAAATTTGTGAAGCGTAGGTCCATATGGGCTTAAGTAGATAATTGTAAGTGTTCAGTTTTTGTTTTAGGTTTAATTTTGAGCGTCTTGAGAGAAGTGAGTATAACTTTCGTAGTCTGAGTTTTAAAGTTTTTCTTTTTTTTTGATATGTGGACCCCATGTTATTCTTCTGTTGAATGTCAGTCCAAGATATTGTATTTTATCTGTTTGAGGAATTTCGGCATTGTCAAGGTAAATAGGAGGGCATGTTCCATGTCGAAGAGTGAAAGTGATGTGTAGTGATTTGTCTTGGTTGTCAAATTTTCCAGAGTTTGCACCAGTCGTTTAGTTTTGTTAGATGATGTAAAGTCTGTGTGGCGTGTGATGGGTTTTTATGTCTTGTTAAAATAGCTGTATTGTCTGCATAAGTCGTTAAAATAGTTCTGGCGCTGTTAGGAATGTTGTGTGTGTATATAATGTATAAAAGCGGAGCGACTACTGACCCCTGAGGAACTCCTGCTAAGGCTGGTCTTGTTGAAGAAAGTTCTGAGCCTTGGCAGACAGAGAAAAATCTGTCAGAAAGAAAGGATTGAAGTATAAGATAGTAGGTAGGAGGGAGTATCGTCTTAAGTTTGAAGAGAAGGCCCTTATGCCAGACTCTATCGAATGCTTGAGCGACATCCAGAAATACTCCAGTTGCATACAATTTTTGCTCCAGTGCAGTTGCAATGTAGTCAGTCACCCTGTGTAATTGATGGATGGTTAAATGCTATCATCGGAATCCAAATTGATGGATTTGGATTGTTTTTCAACCCCCAATTGTTTTTCATCCTATATTGGTGAAACCAAAAATCTCCTAAAAGACCGCATAACCCAACATAAATATTCTGTATCCTCTCGTAATTTCACCGCTTCCAAATTATCCGAACATTCTCTCTCCCTCAATCATTCATTTGACTTCGACAAAACATCCATCCTTGCCACTGTTCTCAACCATGACAAACGACTCATTTCTGAAACCCTCCACATCCAGCTTCAACCAAAGACAGTGAATCTTAAGTCTGACAAAAACAACTTTTCTCTAACCTATAGCCAAATTCTGAATTTATTAAAACATCCATAGTTATATTCCTTTCCTTTTTGCTGACAACTCCCGTATATATATACATATATATATATATATATATATATGTGTGTATATATATATATATATATATATATATATATATATATATATATATATATATATATATATATATATATATACATATACACATATATATATATATATATATATATATATATATATATATATATATATATATATATACATATACACATATATATATATATATATATATATATATATATATATATATATATATATTCACTTTCACTTTCTATTAACTTTCGTTCAATATTCCATAATTTTTCTACATAATATATCTCTCGTAACTATCTAGGCTTCTAGCATTCTTCTAGTTCTAGCTTAGTCCGATAACCGTTACAGATGACGCCACCTCCACATCCCTACTCTCTCCACCTTCTTTGTAACGACTTCATTCTCACTTTGACATTTTAAGAGAAAGGTACTACTTCTTTTATTTTTTTCTTTCTTATTTCAGCTTTCTCAATTTCTTCCCTCCTTCCTTTCATTCCTTTTCTCTGTTGTTAACTCTCTATTATATTATACATTGTCTGTACATCTTGATAGACTTTACAACATCTCAATTTTCTATCAAACTACTGCATTCTCAATGTTTTCATTTTACTATTTATTTTATTCTCATTTCTTATATAACTTTATATTTCTTTTTTATGTTTTTACATTTTATTCTAAGATTCCCAATGTAACACTTTTGTCACCCCCTTTTTGATTATACCTACTTCATCATTCCACACTATGTAACAGTCTGTATCATTTATCTCTTAGTTCTTAGTCATTATTCTAACAATTTTATTTTACTTTATATCTATCTATTTTATTTTTATTTTATCTAGATCTATTTTATCTAGATCTAATCTATTTTATTTTCTCATCTTTTTTTTGTTATTATCTTTTTTACCATCATTACTTAAGTTTCTCATACCTTGTTATCTGGTTATTTTCTTAGCCCTGATGATGGCCTGAACTTCAGGTCGAAACGTCGGCAGATGTAAAAAATAAATATTATAATTTATTTTTGCCTTCCTTTTTGACTGAGCACCCAACTATTCTTCTCTTCATTATCCACGACAGTCAACCAATTACCTATTATGAATCTATCCACACGGGGCCAACGACCAGATAACAACCGTCTTTCTTCTCATCTCCTAACTAGACATCAAAATCATCCTAGAGCTCCGCAGTCACCAGCAGCAACTTTTTTACCACGCCCACCTAGCCACCATTCACCTTCTTCAACTCCGGCCAGTACCTCATCTCGCGTCAACATTTCATCTCCGGCCATCACTTTTTCTCATGCCAACTCTTCTTCTTCATCTACAGCTCTTCAAGCACTTGATGTACAACCCTCCACCCAACCTCATACATCTTTTTCCTTATTGAAGTCTACCTACCCTCATCTTAAATCGCGCATCAACAACCTGTGTCACCTTCATAAACGTCTTGCTAATAGCACCCAACAGCGTATATATTTCTTCTCAAATGCCGTTCTTATTCCATATTTCCTAAATTCATAGAAAACTCTTTTGACCGCTTTTCAATATCACCTCCGTTCAACTCTAAATTATTAAATTCCTCCTTTAAATTTAAAAAATCTTTGCTTAACCTAAAAATTCGTGAAACCATTCAAAATATTCATTTTCTCCATAAGCAAATTTCTGTTCTCACCCAATTTTTTGTTCATAACATCACCCAAGAAGACGTTAATAATCTCTCCCTTTGCATTTCCAATATCTTTAATTCCACTAAAGCACAGAAGAAACTTATATTAATTTCCAAGTTTAATAATTTGTACCAGGCCACTCTCAAAACCAAGGTTT